AACCGTGGTTAACCCTGAAAAGGAAGATAGAGCTCTTTTAGGCATGTGTTCCTGCTCCTGCTCTCCACATCTAGCTCCTGATGTGGCTGACAAATAGGCCAGTCTCCTCACTGGGACTGTACAGTCCCAGGGCGGGAGGAGTCATGGATTGCGATGAGGAAGGCAGACTGGATTCTCATCTTCAATGACCAAAGCAATCCTTGGTTCCCAAGGTGCCCGCTCCTCTGCAGACAAATGCACCAGGTGCCAGGTGTTCCCCCTCAGGGGTCTCCACACGCCTTCCCCCCCCCCCCAGCAGTGTGTCCCTCCTGCCATCATGGCTCATCATCTTGCCCCCCCCCCCAATCCCCGCACTTCCACTTGTCTACACACCACTTACTCACTCACTCACTCCTCGGCAGGTGTGTGAAAGGGTCATCAGTGGGCTCAGCTGCAAGTCACAGGGGACCAGGAGCTTCCTGGGGCTCTGAGTGCTCCCTTCAGTGTAAGGGACAGTACACTGATGTCCTGGGTGGGTGGTGATGAGGAAGAACTCCCAGGATGCTTCTGGTCTCTGCTGCATGGGGTGAGTGAGGGGAAGGGGACTGACACCCAGAGAGCTGGGGCTCGGCTCACTCCCAGCCCCCTCGGGCTCCTGCAGGGAGATCATTCACCTCCTGTTTGTGGCACTGTACCCTCACCATGCAACGCACAGCCTCATGGCCTAGCGGGGGCCTCCTTAGCCTTCAGCGACTCACTGTCCTGTGTCCCTGATGTCCTCAATGTGTAAAGGACACAGTGGCACTGACATCACCAGGGCCACGTAGGAGGACAGGCCATGTCCCAGAGAAGGGCAGAATCTCAGTGACGCTGCCACACTGGCCATGCTGGACCTGGACCCCTGTCCATGACTCCCACTCTGACCCCTCTTGCCTGATTGGTGCTCCTGGCTTTCTGGATGGGCTGGTATAGGCAAGTCAGGATTCTAGTCCAGCTGGTGGGGGATGTGGAGGAACCATGATGACACTGGGCTGGAATGTCACATGCCTGAGACTGACCCAAACAGGGAAGTGGCACTGGCAGGCCGAAGTGTCCTAGAGATCCTGGGTACCCTGTACAGACACACACACTGTGCCTTGTGTTTGCCATCTGCCCTTGGTCCAGAGCAAGCCCTTCTTTGAGCATGAGGCCAGGCAGAAAAGCCTTGGCTGTCCACAGGCCTGAGTAGCCTCTGCTCCCGCCCCTGCCTGGCCGGGGGCCCATAGGCAGGTCCTGTCTCTGATGGGGACCAAAGTTGACAGCGCTGCCATTGCCTGATGGTAGGAGTACATGTGATTGCCCATGCCAGGGAGGCCTTGGTAAGTGCCTGGGTGTGGGCTCTTCACTGGTTCTGAGTGCGTGACCTTCCAGGGTGCACCACTGGGCACTCTGGTCTGTGCTCAGCAGCCACCACATTGCGTGGATTAGAGTTAAAACCGCATAGAGCTGAGGTACCAAAAGTGCATTTGTTTAAATTGCTGGTGCGTGTGTGTGTGTGTGAGAGAGAGAGAGAGAAAATGCTATCTTTTTTTTTCTGGGGGGATAGGTAAAATTTTTAAAAAATGTTTCTAGTTTAGATTAGTTTAAAAAAGTAAAAATAACGAAGTGGTACAAGCAGTACTGCCATAGCCGACACTCAGCTTCCTCTATTATTAACCATCTCAGACTGGTATGATGTATTTGTCAACATTAGTGAAACACACCCAGCTTCCCTATTGGTTTTAAAAGATTTGTTTATTTTGAAAGTCAGAATTACAGAGAGAGAGGAGACACAGAGATCTTCAATTCAGCGTTTCACTCCTCTGATGGCCACAGCAGCCAGAGCTGGGCCAGGTGGAATGGAGGTGCTTCGTTTGTATCTCCTGCACGGGCTTCAGGGATCCAAGCACTTGGGCCATCCTCTGCTGTTTTCCTGGGCACTCTAACAGGGAGCTGGATCAGAAGTGGAGCATCTGGGACAAGAACAGGTGTCCACTTGCAATGTTAGTGTGACAGGCAGCAGCTTAACTTGCTATGTCACCATGCTGGCGCCACTGTTGGCAATTTGTAAACCCGATGAGGGTCAGGCTTCTTGGAATGTACTCTTGCAAAGCAATGAGGTTTAAAAAAAATAAGAATAAGTTGAGGCTAGGAAGATGGTTCTTGGAAGAGGGACATGGCTAAGAGGTACCTGGAGAGCTGCTCACGCTCACTGGTTACTTAGAGAAACACACACTAAAATCACCTGGAGGTGATGTGTGTGCCTTATGTCAGTCCAGTTGGTGATTGTTAAATGCTGGATGATGCTTTGGAGGGCTGGCGAGGAAGGGCTTTGGAGTTTGTTAGAACAAGTGCTCTGGAAGCATCTTATCCAGTGTTACTCAGCTGAAGTGAGCGGGCAAACATGCCTGACTCACTTCTGGAGCTCCTTGGGCACATCCCTCGGCAGTCACGTGCAGTGTGGAGACTGGCCCAGGAACGTCCAGCACTGTAAGCAAGGCAGGGCTTGGCATGCAGGAAACCAATGACCATCTAGCCAGATGTCCCTTGAAGCAATGGGTAGCAGTCAGAGGAAATGGGAGACCCCCCCCCCCCAGGGAGCCCTGTGTTAAGTTGGAAGCTGTGATGTGGAGTGAAATGGGAGCTGCAAAGGGATGCTGATGACACGGAGCCATGTATGTAATCAACAGCCACAGGAGGTCCCAGGCTAGTGGAACATGACCTGCCTAGCAGGTGCACCGGCAAGCTGGGGAAGAAGGCAAAAAAGTCAGGAGCAGAGGTCCTGAGAGCGAATGGCCAAGGGGCAAGGCCAGGGAAGACCCCATTCAGATCAGGACAGAGACCAGTCTTTCTTCGAGGGTCAACCCAAAAACAGCAACTCCACTACTAGCCCCTAGCCAACCACCCAGCAAATGCAAAGTATTAATGAGATGTTTGACTCAGTAGTATTAGGAGTGACTTTCAATCAAACAGACAAAAGCTGTAACATCACCAGTCACTTTTCTGGGTAGGCACACTTTTTACATTCTTGAAGCTATTTTATTCTTTCCCAACATTCTGCAATAAGCTTTTATAGTAGGATAATGCTTGCTGATGAACACTGCCCTTCCAGGAGTGCCTGAATCCTCACTGTGAGATGGCATTGGCAGGCCTTCAACATCCCCACCTTCCACTGACACTTCGTGAGTGTGTCCAAGCGTGTGTATTCGTGTCATCAGCATCATGTCATACTCCTGACCACGATTTTCACAAGTTTCACAACCACAATTGCATCGTGACTCTGCTCAGCCTACACCACCCCCAGCCCTGTTCTCAGCCTCAGGGGCCATTGATCTGCCTGCTGGTCGTGCTGACGTTCAGCTGGTTTATTTCTGAGGTTGGCCTAAATAGGTTTCTTAAATGGTGGGCTGCAGTGTCTCCATTTTTTTTTTTACTTGGCGTGTTGCACTATTTCTGCGTTTCTGTTTTTATGGCTGTGTAGTATTCCGTTGTATGTATTTAAAAAGCAAGTGATTTCCAAAAATGAATCTGAGACAAGGATGCAGGTGCAGTGGAAGAACTGCCAGAGACATGCAACTGTGTGCGCAGACAGGGTAGGAAAGTTTCAGGGAAGGGGGTGTTATCCTTGTCAGGTGACTGGGGCTAACTCCCATTCCCGCTGTGGTCGGCACTGCTGCAGCTCAGGGCACCAAGGAGGGCACCTGTGCGCTTCTCCATCTGCTCTTTCTTGTGGTCCTTGGAGGCCGGCCCGACTCCAGCACACACTCCCATGAGACCACCCTGAGTCTGGGGAGGGCAGTGTGCAGGGAGCTGAGCCAGTCTGATCTTACCCTGGAGTTTACTCCACCTCAGACAGCCCACAGAACAAACCTGTATGGAGTTTGTCAATGCTAGCTGAATCATGAAGTCGAGCACACAGATACTGGTGTTCTCTGGGTATTTTCATCGGGGGGGGCGAAGGAGGGGTGGCTTTCTTACATGCCACCTGCTGCCTCCAGGTTTCTGGCTCGCAACAATTGCTCCTGAGTGCAGTCAGGGAGGGGAATTCCTGTCACCTATTGGGGAGGAGACTTCGGGTGCCATTTTGAGGACAAAGTCCCTTGAAAGTATGGTGTGGCCCAGATAATGTGGATAATAACGAATCTCTCTCCTTTTAGACTCCAGGAAGAAGGAAGTTGTAATTGGAGGTGGCCACCTGCTTCTACAAATACTCAGAAAATGTCCCTTTTATTAACTCAGCCTTCAGAAAAAGAAGTGGTTTTAAGTCATGCAAAAAAAAAAAAGTTTTTTTACAAAAAAAAAAGTTTTTTTGGCACAGGCTTGCAATTCAACTTGACGTTTGGCTGTCTGTATGCCTTTGGCCCTGTTGATTCTCCTTTCTTTTTTAATTTGGTAGAAATTGATTATTTTTATTGGAAAGATAGATTTACAGAGAGAAGCAGAGATAGGAAAAAAGAGCTTCCATCCACTGGTTTACTTCCAAAATGTCCAAAATGGCTGGAGCTGGGCTAATCTGAAGCCAGGAGCCAGGAGCTTCTTCTGGGTCTCCCAATGCGGGTGCTGTGTCCCAAGAACTTTAGCCATTTCCCACTGTTTTTCCAGTCCACCAGCAAGGAGTTGGATCAGAAGTGGAACAGCCAGGAATAGAACTGGTGACCATATGGGATGCTAGAACTGCAGGTGGAGGGTTAGCTTGCTGAGCCATCATGCTGGCAACCAATTCTTTTCTTATAGGGAGAATAGCAGACTCTTCATGAAGAGCTCAGCACAGTGCCTGGGACAGCCTGTGAATTCCTATCAATCACATCTAAATCTGAAACTGTTCAAAAAAAACAAAAAAAGGGCCTTCCTTATTTTTGTCAGTTTCAGCTTTTTAGAGGAGCCCTCTGCAATAGGAACTAGACTGAGTGAATATGGCCCTCCCACCCCTCCCCCGGTCTCCCTGCCAGAGTCACCAGGAAGTGATGTGACAGGCGTTGTCATTTTTGTCTGTTTGTTCCCAGTTCAGACCTGCTTGCCCAAGGCATGGAGGGAAAAGAACTTCTGGAGGCTGAGGACAGAGCGGACAGCCCAAGTTCCAGAAATGAAGACCAGCCTGAGGCCTCACGTGGAGGGCAGGTCCTTGGCCCGGCTGCCCTCTGGGACCTGCTGGAAAAGAAGTTTCTGGAATACCAGCAGTTGACTTACAGGAGCCCCGAGGAACGCCGGGAGAGCCTGCTGAGTCTTCTTCCCCTGTTCCTAAAGGTCAGAATTATGTTACAAAATTTCGGATATTATTCGACAAATAATGATTGTGCATCCTTATGTGGTACAGTGTGTTGTATCTTTAATTTTTTTTTTTCCTTATTTGAAGGATGGGAGGAAGGAGAGTGAGAGAGGTTTCCTAACCAAATACCCTGAACAGTCAGGGCTGGGGCATTCTGAAGCCAGAATCTAGGAACTCCGTCTCGTGTAGGCAGCCGACACCAAGCACCTGAGCTGTCACTTGGTGTCTCCTACGATGCTCATTAGAAGGAATGTGGATCAGAAGTGGAGCCAGGCCTGGGACCCAGGTCCTGCAATAAGGGAGACAAATGCCCCCAGTGGCATCTCAGCCGCTATTGTGCTCAATACCTGTCCACCATATACTAATATGTACATGTACCTGATGCATATATGTACATCATATGTGATGTATGTAACATATATGATCAAATCACAACATGTATTCAACATCAACATATCAAACATCCTTTCTTTGCGGTGACTGTATTCAAATTCTTCTAATGATACAAGTACCTCAGGAAGTTTGCAGAAATGGAATTAAAAGATGAATTTGTCAGTACAAAAAATTTTAAATTTATGCATTTTTCATAATATGCATTTCTGTGAACTTTTCAAAAAGATGTCGAATAGCTAAATGTCAAATTTTGAGCTTCAAAATAATTGTCTTCTATTTTCAAAAAGATTTACTTGAAAAAAGAGGAATAGAGAGAGAGAGGCTTCCCATTTGCTGGTTCACTGGCTCACCCCTTAAGTGGCTGGAATGGCCCTGGACAGGTGGAAGTCAGGAGCCAGGAATGCCATCTGGGTCTCCCACATGGCGGACAGATGCTCAGGCACTTAAGCCATCTTCTTTCGCTTTCCCAGACATTAGCAGGGAGTTGGGTTGGAATGGGAACAGCTGGGACTCAAACCAAAACTGTGACATGGGATACTGGTTGTAGGCACACCGCAAGCCCAGTCCCAAGATACTTAGATGGTAATTCCACTTCCCACCAACTTTCTGAAGTACCTTGTGTTTTGAAATGCTTGCTGCTGATGGTTAGTTAGAGTCATTGCATGTTATCATTTTGAGCCTGGAGGAGGTGACACTGTTTTCTGGGGGACCACCAGACACTGAGGATGGAAGGTTTGCTGGCCTCTGCTTGGTTGCACAGAGGCAGCTTGTTACAGGCGACTGCAGCCGAACACCTCGGATGGGCTGGGTGATACACAGAGGACACTCACTTCTTGAGGTATGGAGCCTGGGACGGCCAGATCTGAGTTGTGGTGAGGGCTCCCATTCCGGCCTCTGGGCAGCATCTTCTTTCTGCAATTGCATGTGGTGGGAAGGGAAGGGATCTCTCTCCGGCTCTTATTGGACGGGACAAAGCTCATTCCCACGGATAAAATCAGATCACTTGCCCAGGCTCTGGTCTCCTAGTCCCATCACCATAAGGATCAGGATTTCAACAGAGGCATCGGCTGGTGGAGAGGGTGGGGCAGGATGGCCATTCAACCTCTGGCAATAGTACTATGCCATTTGCGGGCCAGCGGCAGGAAGGGGCATGGCTTGGCGAGGACAGAGGGTTCCTCAGTGTTTCTGTCTCTACCACACAACCCAATCCCGGGGTGGGAACCAGATGAGAGGCCGGTCCCTCTGGGAACAAGGAAAGGAAGATGTATTCTGCCGATGAGTCTCAGGAGTGGCTGGTGACCTCCCACTCCAAGGCCAAGGCCAAAGCCTAACTGAACCAGGACACCTTGCATCCCACTGGGTCTAACTAGCGGGGGACACCATGGACACACTCCCGTCCCCAGTCCTGCAGCCAGTGCCAGTTTGGGAACAAGAGATTTCCTTTGTTTTCTGGGAATAAAGCTTTGTCTGTGAGCTCTGCCTGATGTTTATGTTCAAAGTTTTGTTGTAGAGTTGAAAGTGTCTTTTTTTTTATGAGGCCTAGTTTTTGTTTGAACTTTTTAAACATGTATTTGGGCATTTCAAGATACATTTCAGATTTGAAAGTGGAGGAGGACAGGTGGAGACTCTGTCGGGTCATCCATAAGACACCCAGTTTTTACTTTTCATGAAACTTACGCCTTTCACCAGAAAAGCTTAAAAAGTTTCCAAAGATGATGCGAGGTTTTCTCAGGATCTTATTTATAGGAGGCATTGCATACCTTAGCATCACTTTCTGTTTAAAAAAATCCTAAGGAACTTTCTGCTTGCTAGTTGATGGTTTTCTTCCATGTTTAGGCTCACCATCCATCACTTTTAAAAGACAGGGTGTGGGGAACATACGGGAAATGTAAAGCCAGACTGGGAGGGAAGGCTCACCTGCCCTGATGAAGGGTTCATGTTAGCTCATATCTACTAACCCCGCATGCTAGGGTGGGTGGGTAGGTCAGGGTGGGCCAGAGCTCCCAGATCCACTGTGTTTCTGAAGAAGACAGTGAGAGCAGCCGTGCTATGGCTGCAGTGTGTCTCCCGAGACTCCTGGTTACATTTGATCATGGTGATGGTGTTGCAAAAGGTGGGGTCATGAATAAATGCCCTGACTTGCATCTCTCTCTCTTTTGCACCTGGCTGGGCAGCCCTCAGCTCAGAGGATAAGACTCTACTCCCAGGAGCTAGGCCTTGTTTCTCCATTTCTCCTTATTACTGAGTTAGGAATTCATTCCAGTGTTGGGCACACACACTCTAAGTTCTTCGAAGCTGTTTCAGGGTGGTGAGGAACCCAGACAGAGAGTGGTTCTGCCATCATAGGGAGGGGGTGCTATTTGAGGCAGAAGATGCTGAATGCCACATAGAATGTATTTCTTTGGAGCTTCAGGAGTCAAAAATGAACAAGTAGGAATGATCATGTTTTTAAACTGGAAAGTTTGCACATGAACATCAGGTTGCCAGTTTCTCTTGAAAACAATGATAACCACATGGATACTGACAGTAGAAGGAGTGAGGCAACCCTGTTAGAAAAAAGATGTTCTTTGACTCCCAGCTGACAGAGTCTGCCACTCCCTCAAAACGCTCACCTGACCCATGTTCCTCACTGATGGTCTCTCACTCAATGGGGCCATGCAAGCTTGCAGCCTCATGGGGGGCGATTCCTATCACAATGGACTCTCCAAAGGGTCTTTGGTTCCCAGAATCAAGTCCAGTTATTGGAGGTATAGCAGCCCTGCTTCTGAATATAGGAGCTTTTATTCCTCTTTATTTGAAAGGCAGATTTTAAACACAAACACACACACAAAGAAAGGAGAGACAGAGAGATGTTCCATCCGCTGATTCACTCCCCAAATGGCTAAATTGGCCAGAGTTGGACTGGTCTGAACCTGGGAGCCAGGAGCTTCCTCTGGGTCTCTCATGTGGGTATGGGGGCAAAAGGACGTGAGCCATCCACCTCTGCTTTCCCAGGCCATAAGCAGGGAGCTGTATCAGAATTGCAGCGACCAGCACTTGAACCAGCATCCATGGGGGATGCTGGCACAGCAGGCAGAGTCTTATCCCATTACACCATGGTACCAGCCCTAAACATGTCCATCAGAGCCTTGTTCCCACTGTGCATCCTTGGATCAGGACTGCATGTGGTAGAGCCACAAGTTCTTGATCTGTAAGGGGGAAGCAGTGACACTCTTGCCGGAAAACTTCAAAGGTGAGATAAGATTGTAAAGCCCTGCAGGTGAAAAGCCAGTGTGTTTCTCCTTACCCAGCCAGGAGCCTCCAGGACTCTGGCAGCACCTGAGCCTGAATGCGTACGGTTGCACCACCTTGATTCTGATGCCCCACACTGCTGACATAAGATTTTTCTCTGGCTCCCTGGAGCCCATCTCTGACAACCCCTGTAGAGGCAGAATATTGCAGGCTTCTTATCATTTTCTTAATATCTATAGTCTTTTATTAAGTCCCGTGGGCTTACATACTTGTTGTTTCCATTATGTTATGGCTAATGAAACCCAGCCAGAGCCCTGAACCTTCTGAATTAAGGGTTGGTAGTAGAAGGTGGGGGATTTTTCTCAGACATGGTGCAGATAAAGGTCGAATGTAGAAAGTTGAAAATAGATGTGGTGGAGATGAAGACTGAATATTCATCGGCACATAGACCCTGTGTTAAAAAGTCAAGGTTGTAGTCATGCTTCTGAATTCTGTACTCGTAGAGTAAGATCCTTCAAAATTGTCTTAGAAATAGCAGAGCCTAAATCATTAGGCTATTTCTTGTAAACTTCAGTTATTAACGTCAAAGTGTTGGTTGTCATGGAAACCTCGCCCCACCTGGGCTCCTCTGAAAACGTCCTGAATCACTTTGCTTGACGGAGTCTGACTCTATATCGGATAGCTTTTACGTTGAGTCCAAGGAAAATTAAGACGATCTGGAATATTCTTTGTTCTAAGGCAGTGTACATGCAGGTAGTTTGGATTTCTGTTTCTGCTTGGGAAACGCTTTGTCCCTGGGGCTGTGGGTTTTTGTCTGGCTGTTCCAGCACCTTTAACACCAAGGCTCAGGGTGGGATTGGTGACCGACGTGTGGTGGAGGAGAAAGTGAAGATCATTGGTCAGGGCACCACACAGTCATCGTGTGATGCCTCTGATGCTCTTGGACCTGCTGCCTTGCATCTCTCCCAGAGCACTTTGATTTTTGTTAGTTTCACGGGGAGATTAAGACAGAGAGGAGAGAGAGAGAGATTTCGTTTGGGCAGAGTTTTATTAGTCGGGGAGAGAGTCTGAGGGATTGCTCCTTGGTGGGAGGTAGTCCGGGGCCACTTCCACATGGGTAGGATGGCCCCAGGAGGGATGTGGCCACCCAGGTAATACAGCAGTCATTCTTTATGCATCTTAGGTGGGAGGAAGGGAGACGGTAACACTCTTGGGTTGCACATGCAAGTGACCCGTGTAGCATTACTCGTTGTGGTGGGCTGAGACAAAGCCCGAGTGGTTCCTGCAGGCTGGTCCAGACATTCCTGGGGCGATAAGGCCTGGATGAACCCTCACCGACTTACTCTCACTCAGG